CAAACATAGCTATGGACTGGATTAAATATTGAATCCCATTTTTATAAAGAGGAGTTTGAGTTTGGAAGAGTTTGAAAAAATCAATCTAATCCTCTCACCAAAATCAGCCAAACAAGCTTGTTGCAATGTGCACTTGTCATCAGATAAGACACAAGAACAATGAACAAAGAAGAAGAAACTAGAAGAGGAAGAAGAAAAATCCAGAATAGGAAGGGTAAAAAATCAGAAGCGCAAGAAGAGGCAATTGATGGATAGTTACTACTATCTAATGATAGGTGCATATTGTAACATGTTAGATTGATGGTGCAGTGTGAGACAATTAATATTTTAAGCCGCAAAGTGATAAAAAGATGTAAGTTTTAGGGTACAAAGTGGAATTTTTCCTAAAAATTTTTGTAAAATAAAGATAAAATTATCATTCAATCTAATGAGGTACCCACAAAACATGATTGTAAGGATCGACTCCGCTTACTTTAGTTGTAACTTGACCCGATTAGTTTGAAAAAGAAAACTTGAATTTTTAATACCAAATATTTATATATTATTTGAAAAAATACCAATAAGTAATACTTTTTCTCTTAAAAAACAATTGACTCCTATTAAGTTTGTAATAGAACAATTAAGTTGTACTTTTCTTTCTCACTTACAGAGCCTCAAAGAGGACATCTATTTTAACACAACACAGGCAATAGATCTACATTAGCTAGCGCTTCACCAAGTTCTTCAAACTCTGTTGATGAAGAAAATATTTGGTGCTTGCAAGGCACCACCACGTGACCCTGTCTTTTTATGTACATCACAATGTCCAACATATTGTATGTTAATCTAGAATATATTTTGTGTGTGATGTAGAAAAGAAGGCAAGGTCACATAGTACCTTGCAAGCATTAAATAATTTCTGCTATCGATGGTATTCATATTCAATGAGTTATATCTACTCCCAAAATATCTATTCTTATTTTATACCGATTCAATTAGTAATTAAATCTTACGCAATCCTTATCAATCATAGAAAAATTAGTAATTATCTATATCCAAAGGCACTATGTTACTCGTAAAAAATTGTATATATAATACAATGATCAGATTGACATGTATAGGTGTTTGAACTTATGAGGGTATATTTTTCCCCCCAAATTTCACACACTTTCCCTCCCAAATTTTACAAACCCAACACAAATATTCCACAACATATAGCTACACATACTTCAGTACACACTCACTACAGATACACACACACACACATTATATATACACTCCAACTATACACGCACACTCCAATACACGTATAGTATCATAATTTAATATTTAGTGACTTCAATCACGGGATATCGCTAGTATATATATATCATTAAACCTTTATATAACTAAAATCATGTTGTAAGTACTGCAGCATATTAATTCTAACATACAATTCATATGTTCCTTCAACCTGCATATTTTATTACTTTGGAAGGTTATTTTTTTTTCACAACCAACACAGAACAAACTTCGGTTCACGAAGCCTATCATGTGAAAAATCCACCTAGCCAGTTTTCCTTTTCGAATTGGCCCAACTTATTTAGTGGTCAACATTTAAGACGCTAACGCAAGCTTTTTAGAGCAGACAAATTGTACACACAGACACCAACCTCACAAAGTGGTCCTTGACAGTTGTGCTCTGCCAGACAAAGGATCGTTCACAGAAGAGGCTGGTCAACGATGTTCGGTGACGGGCCCAGGTCAAGTGAATAGACAAAATTGGAAAAATGAAGAGAAATACATATAGTAATTTCATTAATTTTTAAGAATATGATGCTATTTTTGTCTTTTAAAGATCTAATTATTATATTTTATCATATTTTAAATTTGAATTTATCCTCATTTAAATTTGAGTCTCTCTATTAGAAATGTCTATACCAAATCAAAATTTTGACCATTTTTTCTACTCAACTTTAGGTAAGGATTTGAATTTTTATTGGAGATGATTTGATGAGTGAAACTATAGAAATACCCTTACCAAAAGGATAAACAAAAAAAAACTTTAAATTTCATAAGTTTTTTTTCAACTTAGAAATGACTAGGGTGATAAGCCTATTTTTGATATTTCTAGATGGATAAATTATAAAAATAATATCTAAACTAAAAAAGAAGAAGAAGATGAATAAATAATACGACAACGACCAGAAGAAGGGGATGAAGTTGGGGGTGTTTATGGGTTGAGTTGAAATTTTAACGTCCTATGAAATTTTTTTCGGATTGGGCTTAGGTAAAGTAGGCTCAAATATTTATTTGAGTGAGTTATTAGTCAAGCCAGGCAAGGGTAGGAGTAAACTACTAGCAAGCCAACCCGTCACTCACGGAACGGGCCTTGTGGGGTAGGCCTTGTTTTTTTTTAATATACATCTTCATTTAAAAAGTTTTTAATTTAGTAGTTTTATAAATTAATTTTTAGATGAAAAGTAGAGTTAAAATGGATAAAAAATAAATAAAAAATATTTTATTTGAGAGGAATTATTTATTTTTTAAGTAAAAATACTAAATAATACCCTAAATTACTCAACTTAGTATTTAAGTAAATAATATTTTTGTGAGATGAATATACACCTAATTTTTAATGATCAATTTTTTTTCAAATAAAATGGATGGACGAGCGTACAAACAAGTTCTTAAGCCAAGTTTTAACAGGTTTTGAGAGTGGGCTAATGAGCCGAGTAATGCCTTAGGGCAGGCCTAAGTCTCCTGCATTGAGGTCATGTTCGGATAAGCATGGTATTGTGTTTATCGAATCCCAAATCTATTTTTTGTAGACTGAATAACTGGTCCCATGGATCAACTCGACCATAGACACCCTAGCGATGTAAGGTTCGAGCTACACGCACAGTCTCACAGACAACTCGAGAGAGTGGGTCCCATGTAACATGGCCATGAAAAAGACTAAACAATTGATGTGGGCTCCAATCATTCTGTTTTGTTTGGCTGTTAGCCTGCTACCAAAGGTACCCATTGCATTGCCGTACGTTGTGCTCTCATTTTCTAGTGTGCTACTACTACATCTTTTGTTCCGTAGGTATAAACTAATTATATCGATAAAAAAAAAAAATAGAAGAAAGTTCAAAACACGTCGGCCAGAGTATACAAAAAAATTGTCAAAGAGATTCTTTCATGCCTACCGTTGAACTAAAAAATAAATAAATAAATAAATTTCTACCCCAAATTTGTTAGTTAGTTTGTAACTTCAATTTCTTTGTATAATTTTGTTGTTTAACATTTGTTTTTCTCGCATATTACGAAAGTATTAAAGTGATCAAATTTTGAAAAATCAAATATGTGATCCAAATAATATGACAAATTCACACAACTAACGAGATATAATTGAACCCCTTATTTGTTTGGGGTGAGTAATTGTTGAACTCACCAAATTCAAATTTAAGCCTCAAATTTGGTTAAAGTTATGATTTTATATTTAATGGTTTGTTTGGTAATAATAATAGAAAAAAGAAAGGATGAAGTTTGACTTTTCATCATTTGAGAAAATAAAAATAATTTTACTCTTTTTTGTTTGGTACAAAAGATGAAAAATAAAATACATATTTTTTTATTATTTTATTTGACATAAGAAGAAAAATGGATAAAAATCACTTCCAAATAATTACCTTAACATATTTATGGTAATTTGAAAAAAACTACGGGCTATTTGTATTCTTCGGATACCTCGACCCTCACATTACAATTCTTGGCTCACTATTGTCCAAATCAGTTGTGCACTAGGTTTAATGTGAATCGAATCGTTTAGTCATCCTTGGTAATTGGAAAAATGAGGACCATAGAAATACGTGTCACTCAATCAAAGAAAAATAATGTAGAGTTGATTGAAATGGACATTAAATACTTTTCAAGTGATCTCCAAATCACTAATATAGTTATCAAAATTGTGAAAATAAATATGTAAGTTCCAGATTCAAGTAATACACGATCAATTCTAATCACTTTGATTTGGACCGCCCTAATTGGGTCCACTTGTACATAGTAAATGACAAACTAAGTGGACCCCATGATAATTATTATTTTTTTTCCAATCGGTGATTCTAAAATCTGAACCTTTATTTGCCCTAAAAGAAATTTGAACCTTGGAGGTTAAGTAGGTAATTTTAGGCAACTTTTGCACCATACTTCCATTCTCCTTCCGGTCGATTTTCGGAGAGATTAAAAATGCTGGACAGAAGGGATGCATTTTCCACCCCCTTTCTTTTCATTTCAATTTTTCTTCTTCACCAAACAATTCCATCCTCTTCATTCTGCGTCAAACCAAACAGCCTCGAAGTGCAATTGTTGGGAAGAAAATGGAGGCGGACCTGGCGCAGTACCAGTTGCCGAAGTAGTGTGTTTTTTTGAAAATTTTGAGATTTTTTACTTCTTTTGTTTTTGCTTTGTATTGTACGGAATTTTGGTGAGTCTAAGAACTCGTTTAACTTTTGAACCCAATTTTTCATCCATCCTGTTGTTATATTTTTCGCTGTAATTTGTGTTATTCCTCGTGTTTGGTGCGATCTTATCAGAGCTAGAGTTTTGAAATTTGAGAGTTGTGCTGAAGTTCGGTTTTGAAATTTGGGTCTTTTTTCCTTGTGGTGTTCTTGGATGTAGAGTTGCTAGTTTCAAGCATCTACAACAAGAAACCCTGGGTTGAACATAATCTAAATGAAGCATTGGCCAACACAATACTAGTTGGAAGAAAGATGATACTTTGCACTGGAGGAGGGTTTATTCGTTTGAAAGACATAGCTTTCCAACATTGAAATCTATTGTTGACGGAGAAAACAAGCTCAAATACAATTAACGGGAAAATTTGAAAAGCCCTTCAAGGATCAATGTCATGGCATTAGAAGAAATTTTTCAAGTGAATTCCTTCCAATCTATTTCTGTTATGACCTCATCGGAAATCATATAAATACAACTTCTATTTGATATAACTATTTGTATAAATATTTTACGATTAACAAGCAACGCCCTCTTATACAGATTATGAATTAATCTACTACAACTATAGAATATCACTCTTTCGCAAATTATTGCATATAATATGGAAACGATTCCAAATTATAATAATTTAAAACTACAATGTCTCAACAAAAACAATCACAAAACATGAGGGGTTGATACTGAAATATAAGTAATTATTTGTCAAAATACAATAAACATTCCACTTTTAACGTCCTACGTTAAGAAGTGATTCAGTAGACATAGCATTAGCAGAAACACATGATGAAGGTAATGTCATTGCAAATGCATTTGAAACTTCGTTCCCAAATAATGCAGTCATGCCAGCACCTTCAATATCCATAAATACTTCGGGCAAGATAACTTCCCCATCCAAATACTGCCTCACTTGCCTCATGCTAGGCCTAGTCATCGGATTATAGTGCGAACAAAGCAGGCCTAGCTTCAAAACCAACTTTATTTCCTCTACCACAAAATCACCTTCCAATCTCGGATCAGTTGCATCAAGAATTGCTCCTTCTTTCCATTTCTCCAAAACCCACCGAACCAAACTCATATCATCAATCAATCCCTGGACCTTTAGAGGTCTTTGTCCGCAAGCTACTTCCAGCATAAATGCCCCGAAAGCAAAGACATCTGTACTAGTACTTGCCTTGCCAGTTCTGACAAGCTCTGGTGCAATATATCCATAAGTTCCAACCACATGGGTTGTTCTAGGATTTTCTCCTTGATCATACAATCTAGCAAGCCCGAAGTCTCCTAGCCTTCCATTGAAATTGGCATCCAGAAGGACATTACTTGCCTTGACATCTTTGTGAAGAACAACTTTTTCCCACCCTTCATGCAGATATAGAAGCCCTGATGCTATTCCTCTGATGATTCGATACCGTTGAGCCCAATTAAGGCTTTGTTTTTCGTTACTGTGTAAAAACTTGTCAAGACTACCATTGGGCATATAATCATAGACCAATAGAAGCTCTCCCTTTCTCCGGCAATAGCCGAGGAGGAGGACCAAGTTCCTATGTCTTAGCCTACCCATGCTAGCAATTTCAGCCACGAATTCCTTCATCCCTTGTTTTGAATCATGGGAGACTCTTTTGACTGCTACTTGTGCATTGGAAGAAGGAAGTACCCCTCTGTAAACCTGTCCAAAACCTCCTACTCCAAGAAGTTCTTTGTGGTTGAACCCATTGGTTGCTTTGTAGAGATCCTTGTAGGAGAACCTCTGAGGCCCATATTCCAATTCCCAATCCTCGAGTATTTCTGCATATTTTCTTCTCCTTTGGATGTAAAGAATCCCAGCCAAAGTGATGATCAGCACAACCAGTACTGTCGAGGCCGAGATTGCAAGATCTCGATGTAATTTTCGTTTGGATTTTCTGGGCCAGGTAACGGAAGGAAGTTTTGATAGGTCTAGGCTTTGTGCTGGCCCAGTTTTGTTGAAGCTCCACCCCAGAATGTCGTGGTTGCCTGTCGAACCTTCAATTGGTCCTGTAGCTGCAGAGAAACCAACATACATAGAGTCCAAGAAAACTGGAGAGAGATCAATGGGAGCCGATAAGAGAGGTTTATTTGGTTTCGCGATTCTGATGGGAGCTAATGTAACGGTGATAATCTTTTTCACTCCATCATAATCTATCCAAACCTGCGTTGGGGTTTTAGTTGTAAGATCCAAGCTCTTGTTGATCCCTTCTGTATAGGAAAAAAATGACGCCCGAGCCGATACATTGGATATTAGACTGTTCACATCAATTCCGACATGATTGTTGTCTATATCTTTCATATCAGGGTTCATATTAATATCAAACTCAACTGCAAGTACATGGTTGGAGGTAAGGCCATTGTTGAAAGAATTGAAAACACCCAGGAACTGGTCAGGCATGCCTCGCTGGGTGAAGCCCAGACATGGTGTGATGGTGAAGGCAAAGCCATGGCCGGGGGATGTCCCAGTTTAGGAACAATGGCGAAGATGAAATAGGTGGAAAATGAAAGAGACTGTGCCGACCCAGATGAGGAAGACGTGTTAAATTTGACAGGAGTTTGGCAGAAAGCATGGCCAGTATCTTGCTTTGAAGTGGTTGTTATCTGCAATAGGCCATTGGGAAGGATCTCAGCGAGACCATCAAGGTACAGTTTAGCTCCACGGAAGCCATGGTAGATGAACTGGTCTGCATCTTGGGCCAAGGCCAAGAGTTTTGTGGATATAAGGAGGAATGTCATGAGATTAATAAGAGACCATGGAGCCATTAGAGAAGTGAGAGAAGGTTTCTTCTGTCTAGAAAATTGAAGACTTTGAATGGCCAAAACGTTCATCTGGTCAAATTATATCATTTGATGAGGACCAGTAAAATTATATCATTTAATGGTTGCATAGTATTGTTAGGTGTTACAATCCTTCAATGATAATTCAGGATACTTGTGCCGTGAGAAGTAGGATGAAGTCATAAAGACTAGCACTAATGGGTCATTCTACATTCTCCGAGAATATAAGGCCGTCGAATCTGTATTTTTCTTAGTTTTTTTCAATTATAAATTCAATTACTAGCTGTAAAAAACCAGCGGTGTTAAGTCCGGTTCGAATCATATTCTTTTGTATTCATATCGACTATTAATTAATTTTAATTCAATTCATTTAATTAATTATGTCAAATGTTTTGATAAAATATGTGATAAAAATAATAAAATTCAGTCACTTTATTCATATAATAGTAATTAAATATGTTTATTATCAAATACGAATAGTCACACTTATTATTATTTTTATCAAGTCATATTATTGTGAATTTGTATAAAAAACTAGTTTAACTTAACTTATTAAATTCTTATCAATTTTTGAATTGTTTTAACCTATTGTCGCGTAGCAGAATTTGCAAACATTCTTACTGGGATTAACGTAAGAATGTTCAACTTGATTGGACTTATCTTTCATCGCCTAATAAAGAAAAAGGAATAATCCATAATAGTATCTGAGTTATATCTGCTTGGTTCCAAGAGGAAGCCTCTAGGATACGGCAACACAAAAAAAATCTACATTTTATGGCCGTGGACTTGTATGGCTGCCGTTACCCTGACGTTTCTATCCAGACACATAAGTCATGATAGTAGTTTACACATTTATTTGATTTCCACAAGAGGCCCCACAACAGACCTCCAAAAAGAAAAAAAAAACCCAAAAAATAGGCAATAAGGGATTCATCCAAGTATATATATATAGAGAGAGAGAGGCTAGTTTTTTTTGGGGATAATAATGGTATAAGGGGGTGGAATTAAAAAAAACAATACGTAGGCTCCAATAAAACTTTGTTTGTTTGGCTTTTTCTATGTAGTACTAATTTTTGGATTGTAATAATAACCTGCAATATACACTAGCCATAAACCCATGTAGATGGGTAGATGTAATACCACCTCTTTGGTGGTATTATAAATCGGTGTAAGGCCATCAACAGTATGAGGTCATAGTATTTGGTGGTATTATAAATCGGTGTAAGGCCACCGACAGTATGAGGTCATAGATTTACTATGGTACCTTTCCATACCTACACCTCATAAAATCAAACCCTTTTGCACTCTGCAATTCCTCTCGCTGAAGAAGATGACGAAGGGGCATCATTTGGCTCCGGTTTTCTACCCCCAAGGACGGAGTCATTAGTGAGCTACGGTTGACTGAAGTCCAGAGTAAAAAAAAAATTATCACTTTCATACAAGATTACTAGTACCAGTCCACTAAATCACCAATCATTAGTCTAGTTTTTCAAAACTCGTAAGGCTTAAGCCCCAATAATCATGGAAAGAAAGAGTTTTTCGGGGTTTCTATTCCTATTTTAATCGGAATAGAGAGTGGATTACGCCAACATCAAGCATCTCGATTTCGTCTGTATCATTCATTCGTCTTCTGGTTCTACTTGACTAAGCTTCTTCCAAGAACCACAAACAGGATTACGCCTAAGCTGTGTGAGGTATATCATATATTCATACGTTATTTGAGTTGTTTTATCTAATTTTTTGTTGATTATTTTTTAACTAGAATTGTAAAATCATTGTTGTTTTGTTGATTTGTTTCTCTAATTTTCAACCCTTATCTACTTTATTAGGATAAAAAATCAAGAACGAAAAAGAACAAAAACAATTTTTTCGTTCTTCAAAAAGAAAAGTGGAGAAAAAACATCAAATAACGGAAGCAATTGATACAGATTCAATAATAGATGCCTTTTATTCTAAGAAAAATCGAAGAGTCCAATTTCATTATTAAGTGTTTATGAATTTACATTTGTATTATTGTATATATGTTTATGAATTTATATTTGTATTTTGTTAGTTGTATAAATGCTTAACTTAGTTCGAGATAAACAAAAATCTTAACTCCGTCCATGTCTACCCCAACCAGATAACATCTCTCACCGAGAAAGCTCTCCTCTTTTCTCACCCATATTTATCCCTCAACCCCATGAACCCCTAGTAACTGATTTCTACAAACAGAAACTAACAAGGGTTTTTAGGTAGAAGATTTTGGAATTATATGTCGTATACACACATACCCCAATTCCTGATAACGATTGTACCTACAACCCCCATTCGCTGCAATCCACCTTTTCTTACCCCCATCTGCGTACACATGGGGTGTGTTTCTGTTTCTACCATGACATAGAGAATGGGTATTGAATTTCTATGATAAAAAAATTCAGTGGAATTGGTTGGGTTTTCCAGAGAGTTGCTTCAAAAAGCCCAAAAATGCCATATCTTGAATTTGTGATTTTTTTACCAGGCTTTTTGATTGGATGCATTTGTGGATAATTTTGGTGGCCTTCAACATCATTGTCTAATTTTATGTTCTTTTGGGTTTTTTTTTTCTATTGAATTTTTTTTTCTTAAAACATTGGCATATGTTATTGTCGTTGAACTATATTTTGTTATTTTACATTTTTGATTATAATTCCCTTTTTTTTTTTTGCAGAGATTTATAGCAGCTAGAACGTGTTAATTTTATCCCCAATTCCTCTGGGTCAGAACGAAGAGGTTATCGTCATCGAGGATTAATCTTTGCCAGTTGACTATATGAACTTTATAAATTATATTATGTTGTACGATCACAATGGGTAACCCATTATAGGGATGACTACACAAGCCACAATTTTGCAAATGTAAGTAGAGTTGTGTGCTTGTACTAAGGTTGACAAGAATGGGTAGCAGAGTATTTTGTATAAGTTGGCTATATCATCTAATGGTTGTGCAATTAATTTTCACTATGGCTATGGATAGCCAATTTTGGGGATGTTCCTACTGAAATATGCACAGGTTATTTAATCAACCACTTTTTAATTTATAATGATTTTGTTGCATTTCTAAAATGTGTGTTAATAAGAGTTATGATAATTTATGTGGATTTTTTATTAGAGCCATTTTTTTTTTGGTAGGAATTGCCATAGCAAATGTTATAACAAAAATATTGCAAAATCGTTACACAAACAGAGTAATGAAATGAATGATATTAAGAGTAAAATTGTATATTTGCTATATGAGATGTTATAGAATAGATATTATTTATGAGACGCATCATAGTACCAATTAAACAAACAAACATGGGAGGAGATTGTCATACTTTTTTTTACTAGTACTACTTTACATAGGTATTAGAAATGTAAGGAATACATTTCACAATCTCATGCATAGCAATTCCCCAAACAAACAGGCTATAGGGATAATTCGTGTCTGAAAGTATAGTGCAATACGAATAGTTTTGAGATGGATGTTGATGACTATTGAATGAGTCTATTATAACTCTTTCGATATTAAATTAATCATCGCGTATTTGAGAGGAATTCATTGTATTGAGATGGAATTTACCGCTAAAAAAAAAGAATTCTTTATATAAATTCTAGTGGACCCGTGGTGTTTTATGACGGCTGGGGTACAGAGAGGTTCTTCACTCTAAGTTGGAAGAGTGATTACCTAGATATTGGGAGTGCATTTCTTTCATGTCTTTTAAACTAGTAATTAATTGAATTTTCTTCTCTTAAAAAGAGAGTTGTTGAAAAAAGGGGCTGCAATAGCTCCATTTGCGAGGGTTTGAAGGATGTTTTTGTGCCAGTGTGTTGTTGGAAATTATCAAGATAAGTTAATCTTTGTATTGTTTGATATTGTACTAAATCTTTTTTCGTGATACAAAAAGTATTTCAAATGTCTATAAGTGATATTGTATAGCAAATTTTTTGTCCCTTATTTTTTTTGTGTTTCTTTTGCGTTGTTGGTGAAGTAATGGGTGACTATATACTCTCAACAAATTTGGTATTAGAGAAATATTTGTGGCTATATAAAATGTAATCACTCATAGTCAGAGGATTAAGCTAAAAAAAATTAAAATGGTTCCCAAACACCTTGGGCCTGAATGTAATCTAAATGAAGCATTGGCCAACACAATACTAATTGGAAGAAAGATAATACTTTGCACGAGGAAGGCTTATTTGTGTGAAAGACAGTTTTCTAAAACTGTCTTACAAGATAAAGAATGTAAAATTCAAGCGCAAGTTGTCGCAAAATAATAAAACTCGGAAGTCTGAGATCATACCACAAGGAATTGGGAAAGAATTAAAACACAAGAAAAAATAAAATAAAAATACTTTAAAAATTATTGTAGAGATTTGTTTGTTCAAAAGAACAAAAATTGTTTGGTTAACAACATGAATTTGAAATACTAAACCATCGAGGATACTCTTCCAATTCTATACGACAATTATTAATGATTCAGTTTTTGAACTCAATTGAGAATTAGTTGAGGAATGATCCTAATCAAAATATTTAGTGGTTGATTAGTCTCAGATATTGTGTTATTTTGATATTTATTATTTGCTAATTACGTTGGGTAAGGTATTAATTGTGTTGAATTAATTGTGATTTGGATATTATCTTCTCTTTCTAGTGTTTTGTCTAATTTTGCAGGTAAAATAGTGGAATTAATGATGTGAAGGATAAACTACATAAATGGAGGAGATCCATATCAATATGAATTAAAAAGGAGCATCTATCTAACTCGTTTGGACAGTGAAAGAGGAGCGTCTGGACGGAATTTCCAACAACTACAAAGAAAAATTTGAAGGCTCATGTCTAGACGGAAGAATATGAGTGTTCAGACGGGTGTTGCTTAGAGGCCAAGACACCCATGCGCGTTTGAATGGAAGAATACAAGCGTCTAGACGCGTGTTGGAATCTGTCCAGTACCACAAGTTGTTAATGAGAACTAGGTTTTTTCTACCCCATTGACTGTATAAAGGGGTGTAGTTTTACATTGTATTCAACAGTTTATCAGCCTTTTCTCTTCTAGTTTATTGTATTATTTTTATAGTCGGCTAAAAGTCTAATTAAAGTCAAGGGAGATACTTTCAATAAAAAATGGTATATATTTTTTGATCTAATGATTTTAATGCTTGATTTAGTCTTTTAATTCAATTCTTGTCTTCTAGTAAATTTTTTGCTCTGTATAGTTTCTTAATTCGTTGTGTCACGTACATCAAATGTTTGAGATTTCATATGAGTCAAATAACTGGTTATTTAATGCTTGAGTTGATTAATTAAAATTTTTATAAGATAATTGATCTATTATTTAAATAAATTT